TAGTAGTAGTAGTAGTAGTAGTAGTAGTAGTAGTAGTAGTAGTAGTAGTAGTAGTAGTAGTAGTAGTAGTCGTTAGTAGTAGTAGTAGTAGTAGTAGTAGTAGTAGTAGTAGTAGTAGTAGTAGTAATCGTAGTAGTAGTAGTAGTCAGTGTAGTAAGTAGAAGGAGGAGGAGGAGGACGAGGAGGAGGAAGAGGAGGAATGGGGGATGAGGAGGAGGAGGAGGAGGAGGAGGAGGAGGAGGAGGAGGAGCGGCGCTCAGACGAGACGCGGTAATCCACGTTACGCAGGGTGAGCGGCTGGTCACAACGAGCAAAGCAATAGCACCCTCTACGGTCAAGAACTTTTGCTTAGCGTGACGCGGCAACGGCCCCGGCGACACGCTATGCCTTGCAAGCGGATAGCGCGTTGCTCCGCTCTGGCAAGGCTCGGGACGTTGACGTTGGGGATCTGGGAAGTGGTGCACGTGTCGCGCTGGAACGTGGTGGGCCCGAGCCGGCGCCTCGACACGCTAAACAGAAATTGCCTGACCGTATATCTTATCACTCCTATCTCTCTCTCCCTCCCTCTCCCCTTCTCTCTCTCCCTCGCACTTTCCCTGCCCCTCTCGCGGGCTTCCGAGCCCCAACGTCCGCACGCTGCTGCTCCACTCGGGCGAGGCTCACCGCCCTCTCCGGGAGCGCCATGGACTTCTCCACCGGCGTCCCCTCCGCCTCGAAGAAGCGGACCTCGGGCTTGGCACTTTAGGATGACTGGGATCACCGTCCCTTCTCTCCTTCTTCTTCTTCTTCTTCATTTCCTCCTCCTCATCCTCCTTCCTTCCTTCCCCCTCCTCCTTCCTTCTGCTCCATCCTTCTACGCCTCCTCCTCTTCCTCTTCTTTCCTTCTCCTCCTTCCTTCTGCTCATTCGTTCTCCTCCTGCTCTTCCTCTTCCTCCTCCTTGCTCCTCCTCCTCCTCTTCCTTCCTTATCCTCCCTGCTTCCTCTCTACTTCCTCCTCCGTCCTTCCCTCCTTCTTCCTGCGCCCTTCCTCCCTCCAACCCTTCCTTCTGCTTCCTTTATTCATCCCTTCCTTCGCTCCTCTTTACCTCCCCTCCTCCCCCCCCTCCCTCCCTCCCTCCCTCCGTCCCTCCTCCCTCCTCCACCCTTCCTTCCTTTTTCCCCTACCTCCACTCCTGCTTTCTCCTTCCTTCCTTCCTTCCTTCCTCTCCCCCTCCCCCTCCCCCTCCCCCTCCCCCCTCCCCTCCTCATCCTCCTCCCCCTCCCCGTCCTCCTCCCCCTCCTCCTTCTCCGCCTTCTCCTCATCCTCCTCTAACTCCTCCGCCTCTCCCTCTTATTCCGCCTCCTCCTGCTCCTCCTGCTCCTCCTGCTCCTCATCCTCCTCCTGCTCCTCCTCCTCCTGCTCCTCCTCCTCCTCCTCCTCCTCCTCCTCCTCCTCCTCCTCCTCCCCCCCCTGGGCACTCCGAAAGCGCGGACCGTTCGGTCCACTGGGCAGGCGCGAGGGCGCGCAGTTACTTCGATCCGCTGCAGCAGCGGGCCCTGGTGCTGCAGCAGCTCTACCACGAATGTCTTGTCCTGGAGGAGGGAGGGAGAGCAAGCGGATGATGATGACAATGATGGTGATGAGGATGATGATGACGACGATGATGACGACGATGATGATGAGGATGGTGATGGTAATGATAATGGCGGCGATGATGCTGATACTGATGATGATGGCGAATATGATGATACAATGATGATGCTGCTGATGATGCTGAATGTGATGGTGATGATGGTGGTGGCGATGAGGATGACGATGCTAATTCGTATGATGATGACGGTGATCATGGCGATGATGTTGATGATGATAACGACGGTGCTGATGATGATGACGACGACGATGATGATGATGATCGTTCGTGTGATGATAATGACGACGACAACGATGCTGATGAGAACGACGACGACGACAACGATGATGATGACGACGACGATTATGATGATGATGAAGAAGGTGGTGATGATGTCGATGATTGAGACGATGATGATGATGATGATGATGATGATGATGATGATGATGATGATGATGATTATTTGGATGGCGAGGATGATGATGGTGATGATAATGGCGGCGACGATGATGATAATGGTGATGATGATTACAAAACTGATGATTGATACAAATGGTGACGATGCTGTTGATGATGATGCTGACCGTGATGGTGATGATGGTGTTGGCAATGAAGACGACGATTCTATTTAGTATGATGATGATGATCATGGTGATGATGCTGATGGTAATGATGCTGTCGAAGACGCTGCTGACGACAACGATGATGATGATTGTTCGTATGATGTGAATGATGACGACGACAACGATTATGATGATGATGACGACGACGACGATGGTTATGATGATGATGGTGATGATGACGATGTCGACGACGATGCCGATGGCGATGATTGAGATGATGAGGATGAGGATGAGGATGAGGATGAGGATGTTGAGGATGTTGATGATGATGATGATGATGATGATGATGATGATGATGATGATGATGATGATGATGATGATGATGATGATTCGTATGATGAACATGTTAATGTTGGTGGGTCGCGGGTCAAACGAATTCTGTATTTCGGGCCACATTTTATATGATACGGGCCAATTTTTAAAACAGAGATTTGGTGAAACAAATTCTTTCTGGCCCCCTAGGCGCGATCCGTGTGAGGGGTGTGCCACAATTTGCCTCTGGACGCCGGCTCACCCAGCAACCGCGGACCCAACCAGCCAGCCAACCAACCAATCAATCAGCCCTTCCCGGTGCACTTTTTGAGGGTGTGCCACACGGCTGGGCTCCGAGCAATTTTTTGTTGACCTAGCATGACCGCGGGGCGGGGCAAGGGAGGAGTGTGACGGAATGGAATGGAATGGAATGGAATGGGATGGACGGAATGAAATGGAAGGGTTATGTTGCTCCAATTGTACTTCAGGACCACATCCCAGAAATGATTTCGAGCACCTGGAAAAAAGTGTCGAAACAGTGTCGAAGCAGTGTCGGACGAGTGTCTCCCAGGGCCCGACACGTGAAAACCCTCGAGCTTCGGCACTTTTTTCCTGGTGCTCGAAATTCTCTCTGGTTGGAACATCCCAGTGGAAGGGAGGAGTGGATGGGATGGACTGGCGTGGAATGAGATGGAGTGGATGGGAGGCGCGCGCGGAGGGGCGAGCCGGCGGGCGTGCAGACGTGCGGGCGGGCGCACCATGCTGCTTTGCATGACATTGCATTGCATTGCGTTGCCTTGCCTTGCCTTGCCTTGCGTTGCATTGCATTGCATTGCATTGTGCTGCGTTGCATTGCAGTTCATGGCATGGTATGGCCTTGCATTGCATTGCCTTGCCTTGCATTGCACTGCACTGCATCGCATTGAACTGCGTTGCGCTGCATTGCATTGCGCTGCGTTGCGTTGAGCTGCATCCTGTTTCGTTGCATTGCGTTGCGCTGTGTTGCATTTGCATTTGCATTGCATTTGTATCACATTGTATTGAGGTACATTGCGGAGGGAGGAGAGGAGGGAGAGGGGGGAGGAGGGAGGAGGGGGAGGAGGGGATGGGGAGGAGGGAGGAGGAGTAGTACATTGCAATGCAGTGAGGAGAAGTAGGGGGGAGGAGGGGAGGGGGAGGAGTGAGCAAGGGGGAGGGAGGAGATGGAGGAGGAAGGGGGAAGGAGGCAGGGAGAAGGACGAGGAGGAGGATAGGATCATATTTTTGTTTGCCTCCCTGGCCCTCGTCATCGTCGTCGTTGTCGTCGTGGCATGTTTTCGTTCTGCTCCCACGGCGCTGCCACGATTGCGTTGTATTGCATCCTGTTGCGTTGCATTGCTTTGCACTGCGTTGCATTTGCATTGCAATGGCAGTACATTGCATTCAAGTGAATTGCGGGCGAGGGGGAGGAGGACAGGAGGGAGGAGAAGGGAGGACTGTAGAGAGGAGGGGAGGACGGAGGAGGAGTGAGGAGCGAGGAGGGGGGAGAAGGGGAGGAAAATAAGGGAGGGAGGAGGAAAAAGGAGGGAGGAGGGAGAAGGCAGGGGGATGGAAGAAGGACGAAGAAGATAGGTCAGAATTTCTGATTGCCTCCCTGGCCCTCGTCATCGTCGCCGACATCGTCGTCGTCGTCGTCGTCGTCGTCGTCGTCGTCGTCATTCTCGTCGTCGAACATGTTTTTTTCGGCCTCCGCGCCGCTGCCACGCGACAACTAGAACGGACCAATTTTTCTTTGCACCCCCAGGCCTTGCCACGTGGCGAGCGAAGTGGCACATTGATTTTCTTGCCGGCCCCCGCAGCGCGGCCAAGCGACGAATGGTGGAATCATTTTTTGTTTCCGGCCCCCGCGGCGCCGCCACGTGACGAGCAGGGTGGACCGAAAACTGCTTCTTCGCGTCCCCGGGTACTGCCGTGCTGCGCGTGGAGTGGCCGAGCATGTTCTTTCGGCCCCCGCGGCGCTGCCTCGTGACGAGCGGTGGACTTGCATGTTTTCGGCCCACGCCAGGCGTTGTCACGTGGCGAAAAGAATGGGCTTGTACATTTCCAGGCCCCCGCGGTGCTGCCACGTGACGAGTAGAGTGGAATATTGCTTAGTCACCCGCCCAAGCGTTGCGACGTGGCTTCCCCCCAACCAACTGACCGACCTACCGACCGACCAGCCACCAGCCAACCAACCGGCCAACCAACGATCCTGTTGCGTTGCATGTGAATTGCATGTGCAGCATATTGCATTGCAGTCAATTGTGGGCGAAGGGGAGGAGGGGAGGGAGAAGAAGGGCGCAAGCTAGAGAGGAGGCGAGGAAGGAGGAGGAGGAGGAGGAGGAGGAGGAGGAGGAGGAGTGAGGGGTGGAGGAGGGGAGGGGGGAGGGAGAACGACGAGGAGGATGGGATGGAATTTTTGTTCGCCTCCCTGGCCCTTGTCATCGTCGTCGTTATCGTCGTCGTCGTCGTCCTCGTCGTCCTCGTGGCAAAATGTTTCATTCGGCCCCCGCGGCGCTGCCATGTGACAGGCAGAGTGGATGGAATACTTTTTCTACGCGCCTCCAGGCGTTGCCACACGGCAAATGCAGTGGGTGAGATTTTTTGCTCGGCCCCCAGCGGCGTTGCCACGTGACGAACATGGTGAGGTAGTATTTTTTCGCCCCACCCAGGCGGTGCCACGTGGCGAATCGGCTTGAATAGTATTTTTCTCAGCCCCCGCGGCGCTGTTACGTAACGGGTAGAATGCATTGCGATGCAATGGATCATGGGCGTTGGGGAGGAGGATGGTATCAAGGAGGGAACAAAAGGAGGACGGCACAGAGAAGAGGGGGGGGAACGGGGGCTCAGGTGCGCCGGCGGTTAACTTAGAACGGAGATAGGCCGCGCAACCGTGGACAACATCGGGAGGCCACTGCATGCGGATGACACATTCGGATTCTCAAGACGGCGAAAACAACCTGACGAACACAGAAACTTCAAGGGTCCCAAGGCGGCGGTCCACGGGGCTAGAATTTCTGGATCCGCGTTGGGACCCCTGGATCAGTCGGTAAATCGCGTCATCCAGGGAGGAAGAGGAAGTCAAGTGGGGACGACGGGGCGAATGCTCAAACGACGAGCCCAGAGGCCGCGGAGGAGGAGGAGGCGGCGGCGGTGGAGGAGGAGGAGGAGTGGAGGATATCTGACCTGCTGTAGTGGAAGGTCCTCTGTGGCTCACTCTGCTCAGCTGTCCTCGAGCCCACTGAGGGCCAACTGGAACAGGCGCTTCTGGTGCGTCCTGGGCGGGGTGCTCTTCTTGACGCTCGAGCCCAGCTGGGCGAGGGCCGCCAACGCCGCAGTGTGTGCTCACGTGCCGCTGGCCTCCAGGAAGATCTTCATCGTGGCTCTGTCGTTGGTGCAGCTTTCGCGGCAGGGCTTCGCCTGGCTGGCGAGCACGTCGTTCGTCATCTCTGCGTGGCCGCGGGCTCAACCCAAATACTCTTTGATCGTGGCTGCCGTCTGCGCGCCAAGCTTGTCGCCCTGCTGCTGAAAATGCGCCCGCGAGCGCCAGCCACAAGAGGGAGTGCAGCACCCCGAGCTTCTCGAGATCCTCGACGCGGAAACCATCTCGAAGGGCCTGTCGCTTCTCCTGGCGCAAGCGCCGCGCTTCCCGCGCGAAGTAACGGCCCGTCAGCTGCGTCGCCTGGCACACCTCGTGGTCCGCCTTCAAGTGGGCAGTCGGAGAAATCGTCGATTCCACCGCTGTGACCCTTTGTGTTTTGGCGAGCGACGTCCGCGCCAGTGTAGGCAAGATCGCCTGGATCATCTCGAGCGGCATCGGCGCATCCTGGAGTCTCATGAAGTCGGCCCTCTGGAGCGCGTAGGTGTTGTCGGCGCCGCCGAAGAACCTCGAGAGAACCTGGCCGACGTTGCCTCTGGGCTGCTGCTGCTGCTGGGGCGCCTGGCCTCCGCCAGCCGCGGCGGCGGCAGCCGCCGCTGGGCCCGTGGCCTCGTCCCCTGCGGGTGGTGGCTGCTGGCCGCGCGCGCGCGCGGGCGCCCTCGGTGCGGCGCTCCGCGCTATCCGCTCCTCGAACGTGGCGCCCTAGCGCGCTCGCCCGCCTCGGTGCTGAGGGTGCGTTGGGCCAGATCCACCTGGTGGCGCCTCGTAGTAGACTGAAAAAAGGGGCAGGGGGGACGCGTGCGTCTCGGAGGTGCCTCTGAAGTTCCGCTCAAAACTCGAGCGGTGATGTTCACCTTGAGCCAGGTGGCATATGCGATCGACGAAATACTGGGGCGTGGTCTCTATATCTAGGCAGACAGGGCAGCGCAGGTCTGAGAGGGGTACGCGCAACCAAAGATCTCCCGAACCGAGTACGCCTCCAAGAACGCAGGCCCCCCTTCGAGGTACCCGGGGGCCTGGAGGTCTTCCTGCACTTGTTGAGCCCAGGGGTTGGCTGTCGGGCTCATCGAGCCGTCGCGCAGGAAAGCTGTAGCCTCCTCATCAAGACCGTCGAGGATCCCGAAGATCGTGGCCAAAGATTGTCGGCTGTCGTCGGGGTAGGCGGCGTAGCGCTGCCACTGGCGAAGCCGGCGGACGAGTAGTTCAGCTCTGGAGTTGGTCACTCGCATCTTTTTAAATACAACGGCCTCGGGCGAGAGCGATCGGACGTGCGCCATCGTAACATCGTTGCGAGTAGCTCGGGGCCCTTGGCCGTAGCCGCTGATGTGAATGCTGTATCGATGAGTTGTTCATCATATGCGGCTGGGTCCCCCTCCCGTAGACGTCTCCACTGGTGAGGAAGAAGTGGCCTCGGGATCCGCGAGCGACTCAAACATAGCTGGCGTACGCCCCAGGTGAGAGGCGGGCAGGGGCGGGGCGCCGTCTTCGTAGATCCTGAGGTCGACGTTCTTATACCCGTTGTGGTTGAACGTGTTGATCTTCAGGTCGCCGGCGTTGTCCTGGTTGCGATCAAGCGAGTCCCCGTTCATGATGATGGTGATGAGCGCCGCGCAAACTTTCCAGCGCGTCGAACGCAATCTGGATGAAGAGGTTGTGGGAGCCGCGGCCATCGAAGCCTTGTAAAGCAACGGCGGCGCCACGCGGGCCATGGCGCCGGGAGGTAACAGAACGGAGCCGAAACTGCGCTACCAACTAAAGATTGAGGGGATCGATGACAACGGAATGTTTTCCTTGCGAACAAGTGCTTTTAACGCGGGTTATCTCGATACTAACCCAGGCACGTTGGTTGGCCGACCTACCTACCCGAGGCAAAACGGAGAATGGAGAACATTAAGGCAAGCAACACAGGCAGGGTACCGTTCGAGTGGGAAGGCGACGCGGAATAATAGTGGGACAATGATGAAGAGGAGGAAGAGGAGGGGGAGGAGGAGGAGGAAGAGGAGCAGGAGGAGGAGGAGGAACAGGAGGAGGAGGAGGGGGGGAGGATGAAGATGAGGAGGAGGAGGAGGGGGAGGAGGAGGAGGAGGAAGGAAGATGAGGAAGAGGAGGAGGAGAAGGAGGAGGAGGAATGAGGAATATGAAGAATATGGTGAGGACGACGAAAAGAAGGATGACGAGGAATATGAGGAAGGGATGATGAGGATGAGGACGCGACTGAGAATGAGTGCGGAGGAGGAAGAGGAGGCGGAATCAGAGGAGGAGAATAATGGGAGATACATGTTAGATGATGCTAGGTGGTTCTCGGGCGGATGGACGAGGGACTGCGATTGTTGATCGCGAGGATGAGTACGAACCTTCCTCTCTTCCTTCCCCCTCGTACTGGTTCTTCTGCTTACTTACCCGCCTCAGCCAACTCCTTATTCCTTACTCCTCTTCCTATTTCGCATTACCCCTTTCCTCCCTTCCCTCCTTCTCCTCCAACTCCCTTCCCCCCACAAATTCCTCCTCCCCCTCCTCCACTTCCTCCTGCTTCCCTTCTTCTTCCTGCTCCTTTCTTCTTTTTGCTTCCGCTGCCCCTCCTTCCACATGCCCTCGACCCCTGCTCCTGCTCATTGTGGTAATTCTGCTCTCCCTGCCCCTCCTCCTGCACCTCCACCTTCGCATCCTGAGCCTGCTCCAAGGGTAGGGGGAGATGTGTACAAGTAGAAAGAGGATGAGGGGAAGTACAAATATGACGAGGAAGAGGGGGGCGATTATGAAGAACGACAGGAGAGGGAGGATACTGATGACGATGATGATGATGATGATGATGATGATGATGATGAGGCTGATAGGGGAGGAGCAGCATGATACGTAGCAGGAGGACAGGGAGGCGGAGGAGGATGATCAGGAGGAACAGTAGGCTGAGGAGGGGTGGAGATGAGTAAGCACAGGAGGAAGAGGAGGAGGAGGAGGAGGAGGAGGAGGAGGAGGAGGAGGGGGGGGAGGATGAGGATGAGGATGAGGAGGAAGAGAAGGATGAGAAGGAGGAGGAGAAGGAGGAGAAGGAGGAAGAGGAGAAGGAATTGGAGCGCGGACAGGAATGAGGTGGGGAGGGAGCAGGAAATGAGGGTGGATGAATTGGAGAAGGGGGTGTGGGGGGGAGGGGGGGGTGGAGGCGCGGGAGGGTACTGACGACGCTGACGATGACGACGACGATACGATGATGACGATGGGGCGCGGAGGTCTTTCCCGCTTCAAGACTTGCACTGGAAAGGGTCCTCGCGGAGCCTGAACAAACTTTCGGAACAGTGCACGACCGAACTCGGCAGGCGGCCAGGTTCCCGGGTTCCCGAGGCTCCCCAATCAGTGCTTGAATTGGAGTGGCCTTCGCGGGTGTTGGAAGGCCCGGTGTGGGTGATGCGCCGATTTCGGTGGGCGTCCAGGCTGCAGGGTTCCCAGGTGCGGCCAGGATCCCAGGGCCTGGAGAGAGCGGGCCGAGTGTGGTGCAGAACGTAGAGGGCAGAGTCCAGAGAGCAGCATACTTGTAGCAGGGAGCCCAGATTCTATAGGTGCAGGGAATTGCAAGTGCAGTGCAGGTATCAAGTGTATAGGGGTGACGGCATGGAGTATAAGGCTGAGGGAACCGAATGGGTTATCCTCAGGGCCCTCTTAGGGGCCTACGGGAGACCTTGTGTGTGACGGAATGCTGGGCCGTCTTGGACCACTCAGAAGGGCCTCTTGAAACCCCGAGGAAATCCCGTCAGGCCCCAAGGACCCCCCAAGATGGCCCCAACTCGGGGCCATCCAGGACGGCCTTGGAAGGCCCTTGCTGGCTCAAGAGGGGCCACGAGGGAGAAACAACCTTCACACAGTGCCGCAAGAGGGCCCCTTATCAAAGCTCATAACGGCCGCAGATGGCTCAGCAGAGCCCGTGGATTCTAGCATGGCCTCTTGGCCCCCCATGAACGGAGCCCCAAGATGGCTGACTGACAAGGCTCCAATGCCACCTCTCAGGCCCGCTGGCTGGCTGGCCGGCCCTCGTGAAGCCCTCCAAGACGGCCCTCTTGTTTTAGGTCGGGCATGTCCTCCTACAGGCGGGTTTTGGGCGACAATTTAAAAACAGTCAAACATATGCAACAAATGCTCACAACAGTAGAAAAAATCGTCCCCAGGCTATTTTTGACTATTTTTGAATTTTTACCTAACAGCGAAGACTGATAGGTTTCTAGTAGGGTCAAAAAAGAGCATCATGACGCCCCAAGGGGGTCTGGGCGCGATCAGGGGGAGGATGCCGGGGGACTCGTTTTAAGCAAACAGTAACGCACTTCGTGGTCTTCGAGTTCCCAGAACTCCATTCCTGGGCATGATTTTGAATGCCCGGAGCCAACTGTAGGCCACTTCGTGTTCTTCGTGTTCCCAAAACACCATTCCTGGGCCACATTTTGAATGCCCGGAGCCAACTGTAGGCCACTTCGTGTTCTTCGTGTTCCCAGAACACCATTCCCAGGCTACATTTTGATTGCCCGGAGCCAACTGTGAGGCTGAGGCTGAGGCAGGCTGAGGCTGAGGCAGGCTGAGACTGAGGCTGAGGCAGGCTGAGGCTGAGGCTGAGGCTGATGCAGGCTGAGGCTGAGAGGCTGACGCTGAGGCTGAGGCAGGCTGAGGCTGAAGCTGAGGCCGAGGCAGGCTGAGGCTGAGGCTGAGGCAAGCCGAGGCAGGCTGAGGCTGAGGCTGAAGCTGAGGCTGAGGCTGAGGCTGAGGCTGTGGCTGAGGCTGAGGCAAGCTGCGGCTGAGGCAGGCTGAGGCTGAGGCTGATGCAGGCTGAGGCTGAGGCAGGCTGAGGCTGAGGCTGAGGCTGAGGCTGAGGCTGAGGCAGGCTGAGGCTGAGGCCGAGGCAAGCCCAGGCAGGCTGAGGCTGAGGCTGAAGCTGAGGCAGGCTGAGGCTGAAGCTGAGGCTGTGGCTGAGGCTGAGGCAAAAATTGCGGGTGGGCTCCCTGCCGATCTCCCTGCTGATGCCGGTTCGCTTGATGGTCTTCAAGGTGTTGGTGATCTGGATGAGGCAGGCTGAGGCTGAGGCTGATGCAGGCTGAGGCTGAGAGGCTGACGCTGAGGCTGAGGCAGGCTGAGGCTGAGGCTGAGGCCGAGGCAGGCTGAGGCTGAGGCAAGCCGAGGCAGGCTGAGGCTGAGGCTGAGGCTGAGGCTGAAGCTGAGGCTGAGGCTGAGGCTGAGGCTGAGGCTGAGGCTGAGGCTGAGGCTGAGGCTGAGGCTGAGGCTGAGCTGAGGCAGGCTGAGGCTGAGGCTGAGGCTGATGCAGGCTGAGGCTGAGGCAGGCTGATGGCAGGCTGAGGCTGAGGCTGAGGCTGATGCAGGCTGAGGCTGAGGCAGGCTGAGGCTGAGGCTGAGGCTGAGGCAGGCTGAGGCTGAGGCCAGGCTGGCTGAGGCCGAGGCAAGCCGAGGCAGGCTGAGGCTGCGACTGCGAGAACAGCAGAATTCTACAACTGGATTCTCACATAAATCTTAAGGGGAATGCTTCCAAATATGCTTCTACACATCGCTGTTAGGTTGCTTTGCCGGGATAATCCTCCTGTAGAGGGACACGCACGACTTAACTCTTGTTGTTTGAGAAGTGGGGCTTCAAGATGGCCCTCGAACGGTGGCATCTAGAGGCCCCCCCCTGGGTGCCACTGTTGATGGGGCTCTCTTGGAGCCTTCTTGGGGCCCTCTTGGACCTCTCTATGTGGGCATGTGGGCATCCGTCATCTTTTGTTCATGCTCATCGAGGTCGCAGTGTGATGACATGCTTCGCTCGAGCATCTGAGTGGGCGTCTCTGGTGCAGTGCGATTTCGGACTCTCCCCTAGCTGTGCCTGATGGTCGACTAACAACTGCCTTCGCACATCCAGCGCGGCCTGACTGGGGAAGCCCAATGTAGGCCCACTGCACACGAGCGGACCTCCTCAACGGCGGGGCCCCCTCCGAGAAAAACTGAGTGCGCTGTTCTTTCACCTCGCAATTTTCTGGAGAGAAGAAGACGCTGAAGGACAAAGGAATCGCTAAACATTAACCACTGCAGAGCCCCGTGAACCCGTGAACGGGCACATTGACAAACCCGGAGACCGGCGCAGTGGAGAAAACTGCAGCCGTAGGTCGACATAGTCTCTTTTCGTTGTCTCCTCCCGGTGGCTCTGGCAAAATCCTGGCCTGCAAAATCCTGGTTTCTGGGGCCCTGAACGATGCGGTACGTTGTGCACGCACGGTAAGCAATCCCACCACGAGGAATCCAGGCGCACTCACCCGACGTCGCTCCTGGAGCCCCCTGCGGCGCTCGAGGGCCTGTGTGGGTCACGATGGCCATCGGGACATAAGAAATCTCCGGGGCCTCCTCCTCCTCCTCCTCCTCCTCCTCCTCCTCCTCCTCCTCCTCCCCCTCCGTGGACGTGTCCGCTGCACCTCCAAGGCGAAGCTGCCAGGCGCCTGGGCCGGATGCGCGCTCCAGATCCGACCAGCTGCCGCGGAGGGCGGCCGCGCTCGCCGGCTCGCTTGGGCCTGGGCACGGGCAGCCGCGCCGCATGTCGCGACGTGCCGGTGCTAGGTCGGGCATGTCCCCCTACAGGGTGATCTTGGACGAAAAATAAAAATACCCCCAAAATGCCACCAAATGGCCAAAAATTGTCAAAAAATCGTCCCCAGACTATTTTTTGACTACTTCTGAATCTTCCCCCTGTAGAGGAAAGGCCCCGACTTAATGCCAATGCTCGGCATCCGCTCGCCCCCTTCGCTGCCGGTCCTCCTCCCCCGCTGGCGCCTCGTACAGCGCGGGGGCATCCCTTGGCACTTCGTCCTCTCGTGGCTCTCGTCAGCGGGGCACGGGCAGAGACGTCAGCATGCACGGCCTCTCTCGTCTCCCGTGGCGCCTCTCCGGACTGATGCTCATGGTCTTCTCGTCTCTGCTCTCTCGGAGCTGGTGAGGCTGTGTCCACAGAGCCGATCTATCGAGACTTCCCTTCGACCTGCACCTGGATCTCTTCACTCTCATTCATCAGCTGGTCGTTTCCCCTTTGTAGCGTGGCCAAGCCCTTCAGTGCAGTGGCGATGGATTGTGCTCGACATCTAGAGGATCTCCGGATATCGCCAAGATCAGTACCACCACTTCTCCCCAATCTGTTCTGGAGAGCCAGCAACCAAATGCCAGGCGCAGGCATGGGCGTGAAACCACTCTGCATTAACACTTTTCTGATAAACTCCAGATCCCGCGCTGGCCCGACCACATACGAATAACCTGTACAACAACCTGGCACGAAAGAAACCAACGATGTGTAACATGCCCGCGGAAACATGCACACACGGGCAACCCTTCCTTAAGCCAAACTGGCCGTGATGATGGTGAGGGTGACGACGATGATTACAGCGACGTTTTATGGTGATGTATGAAATTCTGAAATGCGGAGGATCATTACATAGGATGAGGATGATGAGAAGGCGAGTGAAAGAGAAGGGGGAGCATGGTGCGGAGGATGGGAAGCATGAGAAAACAATGAGGCGAACGAGGATCAGGAAGAGTAGATTAATCAGGATAAGCAAATCGAAGATAAGACCGGCGAGGAGGTGGAGATGAGGGTGCGGGAGAAGAGTGAGGTCTATGGATGATGGGGAGCAGGAGGAGCAAGGTGAAATGTGGGAGGGACCGCTGAAAGAGCAGAATGAGGCGAGGAGGATGCGGAGGAATAGGAGGAGGAGGAGGAGGAGGAGGAGGAGGAGGAGGAGGAGGAGGAGGAGGAGGAGGAGGAGGGCGAGGAGGAGGAGGAGCAGGAGGGGGGTAGGGGAAGGAAGAAGAGGAGAAGGAGGAGGACGAAGAGGGACGAGCAGATAAGATGATGATATGATGATGATGATGATGATGATGATGATGATATGATGATGATGATGATGATGATGATGAATGATGATGATGATGATGATGATGATGATGATGATGATGCTGATGATGATGATGGTGATGATGATGATGATGATGAGATGATGATGATGATAGTGGGGGAGGACAAGGAGGAGGACGAGGAAGAGGAGACTAGATAGGAGGATGAGGCGAAGGACAAGGAGGAGGAGACGAAGGAGGAGGAGAGGAGAGGGGAGGAGGAGAAGGAGGAGGAGGATGGGAGTACGAAGAGGAGAAGGAGGAGGAGGAGGAGAAGGAGGACAAGGAGGGGGAGGACAACCAGGAGGCAAGCGGCCCCCACCTGGGTGTTCGCCAGTCGCGTGAGGTCCGCCAGGCTGGCCGAGGAGACGGGCGCTCCCACTTCCCCGCCAGCGGGCCCCGGCTGGTCGAACGCGAGGTACCTCGCAGAAACGCCGCGCGCTCGCTGCTGCTGCCGGGAGACGTTTCGCGCCTCCTCCTCCTCCTCCTCCTCCTCTTCCTCCTCCGCCTCCTCCCCCTCCTCCTCCTCCTCCTCCTCCTCCCCTCCACTTCAGCCTCTTTCTCCACCCCTGCTCCTCCACCTGCTCATGCTCGCTTCTTGCCCACATCTATCCATTCTGGCCGCTTTCCTCTTATTCTTCATTCGTCGCCAACGTCCTCTGCCCACCCTCTCACTCGCAACCCCCTCCTCCTCCTTCTCCACCTCCACCTCCTCCACGTCCCCTCCTCCGTCTTCTCGTCCTCCTCCTCCTCCTCCTCCTCCTCGTTCTCCTGCCTCCTTCTCCTCCTACCTCCCCCTCCTCCTCCTCCTTCCTCCTTCCTCAACACCTCCAACTCCCCACCTCCACCTCCTCCTCCTCCCCTCCACCTCCTCCTCCTCCTCCCCCTCCTCTCCCACCTCCCTCCTTCCTCCTCCTCATCCTCCTCCTCCTCCTCCCCTCCTCCTCACTCCTCCTCCTCCGACCACCTCCTCCACCTCCTCCTCCTCCCCTCCCCCTCCTCCTCCTCCTTCCACCACCTCCCTCCTCATCCTCCTCCTCCTCCTACCTCCTCCCCCTCCTCCTCCTCCACCTCCTCCTCCTCTCTCCTCCTCCTCCTCCTCCTCACTCCTCCTCCTCCTCCCTCCTTCACCTCCTCCTGCCTCTCCGCCCTCCCCCCGCCCTCCTATTCCTCTCCTGGTCCTACTGCTCCGTCGTCGACCTACTCCTCCTGCGGCTCCCCATCTCCGCTCCCCCCCTTGCTCCACTCGTCGCCAACGTTGTCAACGTCTTCCTCCGTCACGTCCGCTGATCCTCCCTCTCCTCCCCCGCCAATTCCTCATCCCTCCCTGATCCTTCTCCTCTTCGTCGTCGGCGCCGCCATGATCATCCTTCTACTGCTTTTCCTCCTCCTCCTTGTCCTCCTCCTCCCTCCTCCTCCTCCTCCCCTCCTCCTCCTCCTCCTCCTACCTCCTCCTCCTCTTTCCCCAAGCACGGTCTTTTCCTTGGTCTCCCATCGCTCTGCACCCTTGAATCCTCCCCTCCTTCTCCACCTCCTCCTCCTCCGCCTCCTCCTCCTCCTTGTCCTGGTCTTCCCGCTCCCTCCTCCTCCTCCTCCTCCTCCTCCTCCTCCTCCTCCTCCCCCTCCCCCTCTCCCCTCTTCCTCCTCCTGCTCTTCCTCCTCCTCCTCCTCCTCCTTGTCGTCCTCCTCTTCCCTCTTCATTGTTCTCGTCCTTGTCTTCGCCGTTGTCGTCTTCGTTCTTCTCCTCCTCCTCCTCCCCTTCCTCCTTCCTCCAATTCCTTGCTCTCATGTTCCCTCTTCCGAGCGGTATTTGAAAACGCTGAGGGTCCCAAGGCCGCCAACGGCCCCCGGATGTCCTGGGGGGCCCGGTAGGTCTCCAGAGGCTCGAGCGAGTGCCAAAATGTTTGCCAGCGGGGGGCCCGACCAATGTGCCCTCGCACCTCGATGTGCGCTCTATCTATTTGGTGCGCTCGATGTGGTGCAACCCATGCGTTGCCATTAATGTTTTGGTCGGGCATGTCCCCCTAAAGGCGGATTTTGGACGACAAATTGCGCTACCGAGGAACCCCACATACCTATTTCATTTCCTGCGTGTACCATCGGCACTAATCTTATTACAACAACAACAAGAACTACTACTACTACTACTACTACTACTACTACTACTACTACTACTACTACTACTACTACTACTACTAATACTAATACTACTAGTACTAGTAGTACTAATTATAGTAACTATAGTAGTAGACTACTAAGTACTACTAGTACTACTAGTACTAGTACTATGTAAGTAGTAGTAGTAGTAGTAGTAGTAATAGTAGTACTACTACTACTACTACTACCTACCACTAACGAACACGACTACTACTACTACTACTATTACCACTACTACCACCTACTACTACTACTACTACTACTACAACAAACTACTACTACAACTACTACTACTATACTACTACTACTACTACGACTACTACTACTACTATACTACTACTACTACTACACTACTACTACTACTACTACTACTACTACTACTACGACTACTACGACTACTACGACTACTACGACTACTACGACGACTACTACTACTACTACTACTACTACTACTACTACTACTACTACTACTATCACTACTACTATCACTAGTAGTACACTATCACTACGTGAGTGTCGTGGGTGCAGCGCGGCAGGGAAGAACACCATAACCCCACGAAGCATGTGGGGAGCAAAGGAACACAATGAAATGCGACGTAATGGTAATACCAATGTTGCCTGTTTTTCACAACAAAGACGCGGATCGCGGGCATCCGGGCGATCATCCCTCTAAGATCTGAGATATGAAGGCCGCGGGAGAACCAGACACGCGGACAATCTATGACAACAGCCAGGGTTCAAACGCATCGGGATGTAAGTATCGCGGCGGCAGACCTCGTGAGCAGGACTACAGGAGCGCGCCTGCGTGAGAGCGATGGCGCGCCGAGCCGGCTTGAGCCAAGGTGTTTACAGTTGTTGACAAGATACGAGCTCCCACCCCCAGCGCACCCCCCCTGTGGCGTCGAGGAAATGCCACGCCTGCCACGCCCTGGGAGCCTGCAGCGCATAGGGCCCCCACCCCCAGCACACCCCCTGTGGCGTCGAGGAAATGCCACGCCTGCCACGCCCTGGGAGCCTGCAGCGCATAGGGCCCCCACCCCCAGCGCACCCCCTGCGGCGTCGAGGAAATGCCACGCCTGCCACGCCCTGGGAGCCTACAACGCATAGGGCCCCCACCCCCAGCGCACCCCCTGTGGCGTCGAGGAAATGCCACGCCTGCCACGCCCTGGGAGCCTACAACGCATAGGGCCCCCACCCCCAGCGCACCCCCTGTGGCGTCGAGGAAATGCCACGCCTGCCACGCCTGGGAGCCTACAACGCATAGGGCCCCCACCCCCAGCGCACCCCCTGTGGCGTCTAATGTACGCCTGCCACGCCCCGCATAGGGCCCCCACCCCCAGCGCACCCCCTGTGGCGATCTAAAGTGTAACGCATGCCGTGCCCTGCGCCATGGCCTGCTGAGCTGTGCTGTGCTGAGCTGAGCTGTGCTGAGCTGTGCTGAGCTGTGCTGTGCTGTGTGCGTGGGGGGAGGGGAGGTGTGTGTGAGGAGACGCGGGTGCGCCGCGGCAGAGAAGAAAACCAGAACCCCACGAAACATGTGGGGAATACAAATGACCCAAAACATATTCAAACGTACTCAAAATGATCGAAGAATCGCCCCCAGACTATTTTTCGACTATTTTTGGATCTTCCTTCTGTAGAGGGACGCGCCCTCAAGCAATGTAGTGACATAGTTGGATTGGGAGCTATATGCCGCAATCCTCGGGGTGCAATGTATGGGATGCCGTCCTCTCGTGGGAATTGCTGTCGACAGCTCTAATGCTCAAGCAAGCGCCCCACCCTCCCAAGCGCAGCTTGTTGGCAAACGCTGGGGCCGCGCGCGGACAAGAGGGCGCAACTCCCGTTGCGCCTCTTTTCCCCGCTGAACAGTTGTATCTGCCAGAGTGGAGAGCGCGTGCGCCCATTGGTTCAAACGAAGTCGCTACTGTCCCCGACTACTTTTATGCTTTGCGCTGTTGACGCTAGGGCCCTAGATTGACCCCAACTATGATTCGTGCATCCTTCCGCATCGCCAAGACCTTCGCGCGCGCTTCGCGGGCTGAAGCCCCATCAGAAAATAGCGTCTGGAAGCCGACGGGTGGGCGGCCGAAACTCCGGGCATCTTCGTTCTCGTGATCCTCCCCCCTCTTCTCGTCCCCCCGTTTGCCCGTTTGCCATCCTCTGTCCCCCCGCAGCCCTCCTCTGCCCTCCTCCCGCTCGTGCTCGCTGGTACTAGCGGCCAACACCTTGCTGCCCCTTTCTGCCCCTGGCGGCCAGCACCTTGCTGCCCCTGGCTGGGCGGGCACCCTCCTCCCCCTGGCTGACATGAAGATATTTGACATTTAAGATGGGCGCTCGTGGATAGCAAGCGTGGAACGCAACACGCAGAAGCGACCGGATAACCACGGCTTCGGTGGTGGGGTGGGTTGGGTTGGGTGAGGTCGGGGTTGGGGAAGGGGTCGAATCCTCCTATTGATGAAATATAGCATGCTCTCAGAAAATATGGCATGGACTGCACATGGGATGCAACATGGTGGTGCGACCTGTGGGTTTCAATATGTGCGACCCAATCGTTGCGGAACCTAAGTAAGAACCCCTTTGTGCAAACACTGTTTAAATAATTATGCAAAAACCTCGGGCCCCAATCCTCCAGATCCGCTCAAAATCTGTCCCTGGACCCCTCCCAAGCCCCATCGCGCCTAGTTTTACATCCCACACCAATTTCTGAAGGTCCCGCGGCGCGAAACGGCCCCCAGTGGCCGAAACGAAGGAACAACCCAAGGCGCGATGTTTTGGATCACTCTCGTGCCCCCCCTCCCCCCTCGCCCTCATTTGCTGCGCAGCACATCGCCCCTGGGCGCCTGAACGGCAGGAACACTGTCTCCCGCACCTGCGGCCAGGCGGCCAAGGTCGGCTGGCCACACTGGGGGCCCTCCACGGAGGGAGGGAGGAATGGATGAGGAAGGGAGAGGACGGGACAGCCGGAGATATAAAGCAACAGTATGATTCGGATGATTCTGCTGATGATGACTATTAGGATGCTGCTGCTGCTGATGATCATGATCATGATGATGATGATGATGATGCTGGTTATGGTGATGATGATGATGGTGATGATGATTCTGATGACGATGGTGATAATGACGGCGATATCACTGACGACGGCGTTGATGCTGGTGCTGGTGCCTGCAATTCGGACAATTCGGATACTTATGACGATGCCGAGGGAGGCTGAGGGGGGGGAGGGAGGGACGATCAAGATGATGATGCAAATAGTTATCCATATAGCAATGATGGTGATGCTAACGATGACGGCTGCGACGATGATGTTGGGGATGAGGAGGACTGGGGAAAAGCAACGCAGGCTCTGCAGAGACAAAACAAACAAACAGCCAACACACCGAATCAGTCAGCCGATGTTGTTTGTTTTCTGGGTCAGGGAGGTCTGCTCTGATCGCTCCTGGGCAACCTCCTCACCCCCGCCTCTCTTCTCCCTCTCCTCTTCCTCCTCCTCTTCCTACTCCCTCCTCCTCCTCCTCCTCCTCCTCCTCCTCCTCCTCCTCCCTCCTCCTCCTCCTCCTCCTCCCCTCCTCCTCCTCCTCCTCCTCCTCCTCCTCCTCCTCCTCCTCCTCCTCCTCCTCCTCCTCCTCCTCCTCCTCCTCCCTCCCTCCCTCCTCCTCCTCCTCCTCCTCCTCCTCCTCCTCCTCATTTCTCCCTCCTCCTCTTCCCTCCTCTCCCTCCCGATCCCCCCCTCTCCTCATCAACGTCCACGTCGTCGTCGTCGTCGTCGTCGTCGTCGTCGTCGTCGTCGTCGTCGTTCTCATCCTCCTCCCCTCCTCCTCCTCCCTCCTCCTCCTCTTCCTCCTCCTCCTCCTCCTCCTCCTCCTCCTCCTCCTCCTCCTCCTCCTCCTCCGCTCCTCCTCCTACTCCTCCTTCGCCTGTTCCTCCTCCTCCTCCTCCTTCGCCTGCTGCTTCGCCAGCTCCTCCACCCTCGCCTGCTCCTCCGCTTCCCTGCCCCTGCCCTGCTCCCGCTGCTGCTGATGCTCCTCCTCTTCCATCTCTCTTCTCCCTAAGACGAAGCCAGGACGAGGATAAATTCGGGAGAGGATATGGTAGGGGTCCGACCACAAGAAACCTCCCACAAGAAACTCAACCCTGAAACCCCAGGACGTCCGTTGATAGTTGGTGTGGAAACGTGGCGCTCTCCATCGCAAAACCATCGAACCCCAAGAAAGGGCACCCTGGAGGTAAGCAAGGTGTTTCTTGGTCTGGGCCCCCACTGTAAATCGGGAATCTCTGTGATCTGGCGGTTCTGGAAGATGCCTCGGGCGCCGCGGCCTTCTCAGAGCGAGCCAGAACGCTCTGAGAACGTTCCGGGGCGCTCCGGAACGGATCTATCCTCGTCCTGGCTCCGTCCGGCTCCCCCTCCCCCTCCCTCCTGTGCACGTCGGGCAGGCGTTGGCTTGCTCGAGCCATCGCGTCTTGATGGCAGGGGTCCAGCAGAGAGGCTGGGCCGAGGCGCTCGATCAAGCACAGTTTTTCATCCGCGGGTCGAGAGCGCACGAAGCTAAGCGGGCCGCGCGAAGCTTTAATTAGGCGGAGAAGAGGAGGCGCTCGATCAAACACGGACCAGGCCCCGGTGCTGCAGCACGGCGGTGTCGCCACGCCGTCCACGAACACATACCTCGAGCGGTCGCGTGCTCCTCCTCCCGCTTCTCTTCCCACTTCCTACTTCTCCCTTCTCCCCCCTTCGCTTCTCCCATATCTTCTCCCTTCTCTTCTCTTCTCCTTCTCCTTCTCCTCTCCTCTCCTCTCTTCTCTTCTCTTCTCTTCTCTTCTCTTCTCTTCCCTTCCCTTCCTACATCCTACTTCTCCCTTCTCTTCTCCTCCCTTCGCTTCCTCCTCCCTTCTCGTCCTGCTTCTCTCCCTCCGGTACTTGCCCGGCAAAGAATACTACTCTCCCCTCTCCCCTGATGCTGCCTTTTCGTCTGCCTATTCCGCATACTGTTTGTTACCCACAGGGCTGTCCACAGACCAGCTGGCTTTCGATCTGCTTTTTCTCCTGCTCCGCCACTTCCTCCTCCTCCTCCTGCTCCTCCTCCTCGTCGTCGTCCTCCTCCTCCTCCTCTCCCGATGTACGCAGCTCTTCTCTATCGCGCATTACACGATGGGGTCAATTGGGGGATCCAGGTTTGCTGGGACACCTGTCGATGGATATAGAGAACATCAGCGCAATGGGAAGGAGAGGACAGGGAAGGGTGGGACGTCAGATATGGCGCGAGCGCACCAGGCTTACCTCCTCTCCACCTCTCCTCCTGCTCTTCCTGCTCCTCCAGCTGCGTCTGCTGCTGCGTCTGCTGCTGCTGCTGCCCCTTTTCCTCCTCCTCCTCCTCCTCCTCCTCCTCCTCCTCCTCCTCCTCCTCCTCCTCCTCCTCCCCCCACGGGCTCTAGAAGTGGCCCACAGACGGTGAACCTGAAGCGTAAAGATGACGCCGCCGGCCCCGCTGGCGAGGAAGCCGTAGTCCCCCCTGGGCGGCGGCGGGACCTCGGCAGCACGACTGATAGGAGGCAACTACTGGGAGGTTTTCGTCGGAAAATTCAAAAAGGATTAAGCCCCATGGGGGGGCTGATACGCCAGAGTGGGCCTCGGATTAAGCCGGATTAAGCGGGATTAAGCGGGATGGAACGGGATTAATCCGGATTTCGGACCAGGGCAAAATCAGAATTTTGACCTCCCAAGAGTTGCATCCGAGCGACTGCGCCCGAGACTGCCAGGCTGCTGCCGCAATCCCCAGAGAGAGAGAGCGTGGGGGGGGGGGGAGAGGTGGTAGAGGCAGGGAGGAGGGAGGAGTTGAGGGGGAGGCAGGAGCAAGGGAGGAAACGTAGGAGGGCCTGAGTCAACCCAGGATGTATCAACGATGTTGCAGTATATCTTCCCGTCCCACATCCGCTCCTCGTTGGTCCCTACAACAACGCGGCTTCGCTGCGCGAGGCGCCCTGCCCCAAAAAAACGACCGCCGCGTGGGCAAGCAAAATTCAAGCGGAGTCGCCGTTCTGATAGGAACTGTCCGCCATCCTTCGAGCTATACTGCACGCGAGAAGGTGGGATCGTAAAACTCAGGGGGGTGCCCAGCAGCAACCCCGCTTTGAAAAAGAACCGGCTTCCATCCATGTAAAGGTGTTGCACGGCTGTAACTGTCTTGTCGTACAACCGAACGAAATTCCAAACGAGAGCCCCATTCCAAAATCCTCCGGCGGCCCCCATTGCGGGGCCACCAGGCTGTGAGGGTCGGGTTTCAGCAACACGCGCCAGTCCTGAGCTCCTCGGTCCCAGTCCCAGTGCACTTTCCAATTTACACTCTCCAGTGTCATAGTTCTACTTCCTGCTTCCTACTGCAGTGTGCCACTTTTTTTCCAACACCACTCAACGGTGTTGGGTACTCGTTTTGAAAATACAGCGCCCCGCGCCTCCCTTCCTCTCTTCTCCTCTCCTCTCCTCTTCGCTCCTCCCTCCTCCCATCCCTTCCTTTGGCCCCCGCACCGGTCACATTCCGGCACGCACCTCACACGTTTGGCGGCCCCGAACGGAGCTCCACCGACGGCCCCAATGGCAGGGTCCACAAGAGGCTCCCTGCCCACCGCATGTTCATGTCGGCACACCCGTCACATGTTTCGTGGCCCGATACTGAGCTCCACCCAAAGACCCACTGGCAGGGTCCACAAGAGGCTCCTGGCCCACCGAATGTCAATTCCAGCGCACACCTCACATGTTTCGCCCCGAAGGGAGCTCCACCCAAGGCCGCCACTGGCAGGGTCCAAATGCAGCTCCTCGGCCCACCGCATGTCCATGTCGGCAAAACCCTCACACGTTCCGCGGCTCCATACGGAGTTCCACCGAAGGCCCCACTGGCAGGGTCCACAAGCGGGCGGCGCTCCGCTCACCGCATGTCCAATTCGGCACACCACTCAAGCGTTTCGTGGCCCTATACAAGGGGCTGCACTGAAGGCCCCTATGGCAACGTCCACATTCGGCTCCCCGCCCACCGCATGTCCGTTCCAATGCACCCCACACGTCCAATGGCCCTATACGGGGTTGCATGGCTATTTCGGCACACCCATCACATGTTGGGTGGCCCCGTAGGGAACTCCACGAAGGCCCCAGTGGCAGGGTCCACATGCGGCTCCCCGCCCATCGCATGGCCATTTCGGCGCACCCATCACACGTTGAGTGGCCCCACGGCAGCTCCACCCGCGGCCCCACTGGCAGGGTCCCCAAGGGGCTCCCCCACCCACCGCATGTCCATGTCGGCGCACACCCACACGGCTCGTGGCGCCACAGGGAGCTCCACCGAAGGCCCCAGCAGCAGGGTCCACAGGCGGCCCCTCGGCCACGCGTTCGTGGTTGCATCGTGGCCCGCCCGAGCCTCGCCTTCTGCCGACTGTCCACTTGTTTGGTCACGCGCCGCGGACGACCTGCGCGCGTCGCTGGAATCCTCTCGGGGCGGCCAGCGCGCGTCGCGGGGGCTCCCTTGCGCTCTGCCCAAAGAGCTGCCCGACTTCCACGCGCTCTACCCAACGCCTCGCCCATTGTCACCCGCCACTTTTACCCAAACATCCTGTGGTGCTGGGCCCTCGTTTTGAAGAGACAGCGCCCCGCGTCTCCTCTCCTATCCTCTCCTCTCCGCTCCTCATCTCGTCCTCGTCCTCGTCCTCGTCCTCGTCCTCGTCCTCGTCATCTTCCTCTTCCTCGTCCTCATCCTCCTCCTCCCATTCCTGCACCTGCCCTCCGCATGTCAGCAATTTGGGCACACCACTGACGCGCTTCGTGCCCATATGGATCTCCACCGAAGGCCCCAGGGAGCGCGTTCGCATGCGTCCGCGCCACCCAATACAACGCTTCGGGGCCCCATAGGAAACTCCGCCGAAGGCCCCGCTTGCCGCGCTCGCATGCGTCCGCGCCACCCAGTACAGCGCTTTGCGGCCCCATAGGGAACTCCACCGAATGCACCAGTGGCCGCGTTCGCATGCGTCCGCGCCACACAGTACAACGCTTCGTGGCCCCACAGGGAGCTTTCCCGAATGCCCCAGTGGACGCGTTCGCACGCGTCCGCGCCACCCAATGCAGCGTTTCGTGGCCCCGCATATAACTGATATTGGGACCAATCCCGGCTTGCTAGTCCCAAGCCTGGCCCGTGACCCGATGCGCATTAAAGTCGGGGCGTTGACCTCAGGAACCCTAAATAAGGAACGAGGCCCATTTTTCCCATAAGTTAAACTTCGATTTCCAATGGGAAACCTCAGGAAACCTCAGGAAGGCCTGAGGCAAACTGTTAAACGATCCGGGAACACCAAGCCCCTCCCCAACGAACAGGGTTCCTTCTTCAGCGCCCCGACTGTACAGCAAATCTGCGCTCCCGAGGCCAGAGCCCTTTGTAAACTACGCCGGGTTCGCGCTGCAAGGGCCCGACTCCTTTGTCAAATCGCACCAGACTTGCGCTCCCGGCGCCAGAGTCCCCGGTAAGTTCTTGTAAAGCTGCGCTCCCGAGGCCAGAACCCTTGGTACGTTACGCCTGCTTCGCGCGCCGGGGGCCAGACTCCGGTGTACATTACAGCAGATTCGTGCGCTCGGAAGCCGTATTCCTTTGCACCTACCTTGCGCCGCGTTCGCGCCCCCAGTGCCCAGGTGGCCGCAAGCGGCCCCCAGTCGTGCCGAGAGGGCTGCTGATGCATGGCGTGCGGGGAGTGCTCCCAGAATGCGACGCAAAGTGTTCCAGAATAGACCTATGATGTTCCAACCTACTTTTGCCTTGGCCACCAGAAATAATTTTCGAGCACCAAGAAAGTACCGAAACTAGAGAGCTTTCAAGTGTCGGGCCCTGGGAGACGATACTCGTTCGACACTGTTCCGATACTTTTCTGGGTGCTCGAAACTATTTCTTGGATGTAGTCCTTAGTACGATGGGAACAAGATAAAAATAGACCCGCCAGATGTTTTCAGATGTCTTCAAGACGGCGCCCAAACACCCCGACGAAACTCAGACATCTTCCATTCTGACAGAAGAGGGACCGGCGGCAGAGGGCGAAGCCCTTATGGATAACCCGCCCTCCATCCGAGAAACTAATGCACAATTTTGTAGGTTTGGTAGCAATTTCGGAGGAGGTCTCAAGCGCGAACACCATTTTGAAAACGACTCGCCTCACATCCCTGTATTTTTTTTTGTCGGACGGGCGTGCGCGGCACGAATGCGAGGACACCAATTCGAAAACGATTCGTCCTCCATCCGTGTAACAGTTGTTTACGGAAGACACGTGTCTGTGGCGACCCAGCCGAAGAAACCACTTTGAAAATGACCCGCCCTCCACCTGTGTAACTGTTGGGACAGTCAAGCTTCGAAATCATAAACAGTGTGGGGGGGGGCTCGGGCAAAACGCCCAGCCCGCCCTAACAGCACGTCTAGTGGTGCGACATGCAGGAGCTATTGATACAAGGAATGAGGATGGAGGAGCGATGTAGGAAGAGGGGGATCAAGGGGGAGGGATCATGAGCCACAGAGGGAAGGAGGGAGGCAGGGGAGGGAGGCTGGGAGAAGAGGAGCGAGGGATGAGCGATTGAAGAGGAGGGCGGAAGAACGAGGGTGCGGGATGATGAGGAGGATAGTGGGGATGATGGCCATGATGGCCATGCTGATGACGATGACCATGATGCATTCATAATTTTCATGGTGATGCGGATGAGATGGGCAGGGTGCATTGAGGGAGGAATAACAATTTAGGACGTTGATGCTGCTGCGGATGAGGATGCTGACGATGCTGACGATGATGATGCTGATGATGATACTGATGCTGCTGACGATGATGGTGATGATGATAATGATGACGATGATAATGAGGATGATGACGACGATTATTATGATTATGTTGTTGATGATGATTATGATTACGATGATGATGATGATGGAGATGATGGAGATGATGATGATGATAATGATGATAATGATAATGATAGTGATAGTGATGATGATAATGATAATGATAATGATAATGATAATGATGATGATGATGATGATGATGATGATGATGATGATGATGATGATGATGATGATGATGATGATGATGATGATGATGATGATGATGATGATGATGACGCGCCCGTGGAAGGGTGGTGCCTCGAGCCAACTCTGGCAGAGGCACGGCACGTGAAGGCCATGCAGTCGAGCGGATCTGGGCCCCGACCGACGCATTGATTTAGGTCGGGCATGTCCCCATACAGGGGGATGTTGCACCCCAAAAATACCCCCAAATGCCCACAAAATGGTCACAAAATAATCAACAAGTCGTCCCCTGACTATTTTTTGACTATTCTTGAATTTCCTCCTGTAGAGGGACAGGCCCGACTGAAGCCTTCATCGGCCAACCCCGTCGGCTGGTGACCGCCGCAGGATGGCAGGAGCCCCGCGGTGGGCCCCGACAGGCTCCGAGGGAATCCGAGCCACCGGGAGGCGCCCCGCCTCAGCACGCCAGGCGTCGCCGCGAGCACAGACCCTC